TCCTATGCATAGTCCAGGTTTTTCGTCACAATCAGCACACTCGTAAATTGTGTTTTTCCTAATTTTATGGATAGAACATATTCTACACAAATATTTGACATGGGCGTGGGCTGTGTTCAATATGCGTTAGTATTGAAAAACGTGTACTTGGACTAGGTTGGACCATACGTGGGCTGAGCGTGGGATGTGCGTGGGCTGTGCTCAACTTGCGCCGGGCGTAAAAGCCGAGTTAGATAGTCTTGGACGAAGGTATTATCAAAGAATGAGAAAGTGCGTGTGCCGCACCGGTTGTATTAGTACCGAAAAAAAAGGTGGTACGTGACTTTGCATGGACTATCAACATTTAAAAGCCGTGAGTACTAGTGACTCGTATCCATTATTATATGTCTACCATAGACTTACGATCGGTAAATCATCATAAAAGTTAATGTTATAACAGCTGATCGTAATAAAACTGTGTTTGTGTCATCATTTGGGACTTAAGGATGTCTTTCGAAATAAAAAGAGCCCCAATAAATTTTCAAAGACTCATGAACCGTTTTCGCCGTGGTTTTAGTAACTTAAATCGGAAAATGTGAAATATAAAAATGCTGATCGACTTTTTAAGTCACCCAGTCCATTTAAAGAAGAAGATTTAGTATGGGCCAAAACAACCGCTCCTAGTAACAGGTCAAAAGGTAAGGCAGCTAAATTCTACCCGAAGAGAAATAGACCCTCTAAGATAAGGCGAATGGTATCGCCTGTAAGTTATGAGCTTTGTGAAGTGGACAATCCTACTGCTCTTGGTGTGTTTCACGTAGTCGCGCTTATATAAGCTAGCCTCAATGACGTTAAAGCTCCAACGCCTGTAGTGCCAAGACGACGAAGACGAGGACTTCCTAGGAAGAAAACCGCATCTTCTCCTGGCCCCTCCTCTAAACGGTTTGAGGCCAATGGGGGAGACTGTAACGAAAACAACCCCTGACGCTGCGCCTCTGGAGGCGAGCCGTAATATCATGATTTTCAAATCCCAACATATGACTTCTCGAGAGTCCTGTTAGATAGACCAGTGACTTAAGTGTGTTTGGTCTGACCGTTTTGTATATATTTTAGTTTTTACAGATGTGAATAGAACACAAAAAGATAGTATTCGCATTATATTTAGCTGGTTAACGTTTAGCTTTTGTAAAAGAAATACAATTAGACAGCTCTATCAAATCATCGTAATTTTCATTATAAAATAAACCCCAAAACCCTGATAGTCCAGTCGTCAAAGAATTGGCCCCTAAAAATCATACGAGCAAGCTAAATTTTGCAGAGAATAATTTTTTGGGACTTCAAAAAGTATGTAAAACTGTTTACCACTTTTACCCCCGGCTTCCCCCTAAAACCCACCTTCCAGGGGGTAAAAACGCAAAAAATCTATTTACTAAGAATCTGTACACCGTAGAAAAAATGTTTTAAATAAAAAATGTAGCTGAAATAATTTTAAACAAAAATATTTTTAAGCATTTTTTGTGTAGAATAAACTGTTCTCTTAGAAACAACGCTTGAAGAGATCGTTGATTTTGCAATTCAGTTACGCACGAAATCAATGTTCAATAAAATTTGTATCAGCTCAACGGTAAAAATTCGATATCTTTTGATCCAAATGACCTATCGACTAAAGATTTAGAGGGAGCACAGGGGTAAAAGTGATAAACTTTTTTGCATCATTTTTGGGGTCTCAAAATCAGTGGCGGCTCGTGGCTTGAGAGACGAGGTCGGCAAGGTATTTTTTGTCTCCTCAGATAGCTGTAATAAAGACTTCAATCATCATAGAAGGTTTTTTTTTTCTTTAAATTTAGATCCTAAACATGTTTATAAATTAATTCTAGTTTACGTTGTTTGGAAGTAGCAATATGAGTTATATATAATGGTTATCGTAAAATTTATTAGAGTTTTGGAGAGACTTTAAAAGTTTTTTTTCTATTGACATTTGAGACAAGCTTGACATTCGCTCTTGTTTCATGGTGTTTCGACAACACGTTTTGATTCTTTTGAGACAAGAGAAAACTCGTTCATTTGAGGCAGACGTTGGTGGTAATGAGCGTAATGGTGGTTCGATAACAGTTTGTTGTAATGAATTGCAGTATATCAAATTATACATATCTTGTAACTTATCCCAACTTCCGAAAATATTTGGATTAGCATTAAAACTTTCAGTTCATTTTTTAATTTTATTTTGCTAAAGAATGATGGATAATGTTTAATTAACATGTCTGATATATATCTTAGAAATTCTTTGGCGTAACTTTTAAATTTTGAATCGTCAAAGAGGTCAAAAAATTGCAAAACTTCAAAATTCGAAAAACGAGTATCTATTTGCATAATAATAGTTTCCAAAATTTCAAAATATACTCGTTTTTCGAGATCTGTTTCTGTGTCATGCCTTTGTCTTTTTTTGGGGGGTTCGGAAATATCAAGCGAGTCCAAAACGTCACTGCCTACTGGAATTTACTATCATTACGAAAATCTCTGAGATTTTGCACCAGTCTTGTTATTCTATTTTTGGAATGAACTGTCAGTTATTCGATTTTGAACAACACTGAATATTAAATCGGTTTGGGTAAACACTTTCCTAAAAATATTTAAAAGTATGTTAAAAGAGTAATCATTTAATAAAGTTTTCAAACCGATTGCTTCACGGATCGAGATATCATCACTTTCAAAATCGTCGCATTCAATAATAAAATCAAAAACTTTCAAAAGCTGTTCACGAAAATCTGCTACAGTGAAAACTAACCAAGATTTAAAATTCCATCACATCTGACAAACTGTTAGAATTGTTTTCGAAACAAACTGTTCTAAAACATTAGTCTGTTTTATTCGAACTTGAGAAAAATGAAGCAAATCCGCTAAAACTGTCAAAAAAGACGACATTCTTCAATTTTTTTACATGTATCCTGCAAAACTAAATTTATTCTATGCGCATGACAGTGAATAAATAAAGCTTGCGGTGCAATAGTTTTAACTTTTGCCTGGAGACCATTCAATTCACCAAACATCACCGGCAGCGCCATCATAATTTTGCCCTATCAATTTATTTTTGATATTAAAAAATTTTTATCTATCCTTTAAAACACCAGAAATTTATTCTGCCTTATGGCTTTTATTCACCTCTGTAAAATCTAAAAATCTCTCATAAATATTACCACGTAACGCGTATCGAACAACAATTGATAATTGTGAATGGCACGATATGTCGGTAGTTTCATTGACTTCTAGTGAAAAGCAAATGGTTTCATAAATCTCAGATTCAATAACGTTACTTAAAATATAACTAATTGATTCTATTAATTCATTCTGGATTGTTTTTGATACACCGCTAAATGTCTTCAAATCAGAAAGTAAATTAGAAAATTCCAAATCGTATTTCTTAAACATCTTTATTACTTCTCTATAATTGCCTTGATCAAACGAATGCTCCGATTCATCGTGTCCCCTAAAGATTAAATCCTGACAACTTAAAAAAATTACAATATCAATTAAACAACGTAAAACTGCGTGATTATTTTTTACAGTTTCGCTTTAATAGCATTTTCACTTTGGGTATTATCTAATGAAACATAAATATATTGTTTTTCAAATAAATCTAATTTAATCTGGCTGTATGTATGATCTTTCGAAATATCATGTTTATGTCAAGCCTTAAATAATTCCTTTAAATTATCGTAACCAGATTCACACCACGGATTTTGATGCACCTATTTGTCGAAAATAAAATGCAAGGCTAACAGAAAAGTTTGTTTTTTATTTCACTCCCGGTAAGCCATGAGTACTTGCTATACCAATTATCTGGAAATGATCTATTACTTCCCTTACCCCCTCTGTACTAATATTTATAAGCCGGGTCATTTTAGGCAAAGGACGCCCCAAATTTTTAATAACAATTTGTTTTTCGTATGGAATAGATGAAAACCCATTTTGCAAAATATAATTTACAATATCAGATTTATCAATACTTACAGTTTCTCCCATGGCTTGCATTTTTTAGGTTAATTTACCTGAATTTGTTTACACATTTATTAAAAAAAACTTCTAATATTTCAAAAAACCCTTTAACTATTTACGGCAGTGGTAACGTATCACAGTATTACTTTAGAAAACAAAAATAAATCACAGAAAGAAAAGCTAGTTCGTGCACTCAATATCAGTTCACTACTTATCCATCCTCATCCTGAATAACATTTTATCGCACGCTCACAAGGTACAGTTCACGACCAATCACCAATCCTTAAGAAGCATCGGCAAATTTAAATTTGCTGGACTTGGTAATTAATTTCATATGGAAAGAAATGTATGTTTGGTTGCTCATCAAGTAATATTCCGTTGATTTTTACATGTAAATATTGTAAATCGTCAATCTTGGGATCGGCTTGCCGAAACCCTGAAACGTGACTATTTAAGAATTCACAGACGGATGCATGTCTCCGATTTCGGATCATTAATTTGAAAAGTGTCTTACACAGGGATCACTTAACGCTCAGATAGGACGAATTCTTTTAAAAACCATGAATAAAATTTAGTCTGGTCGAATTAGTCTTATTCTTTTAAAAACCATGAATAAAATTTAGTTATTTCACAGATAATTTTTTTTATTTCACAGAAACAAATGACATCAACTGATTATCTGCCACAATTAATTATTGAAATACTGATTAAATTAAATATTAAAAAAAATCTATAATATCTATAAAGGTGTGGGTGGGCACTGCCGACCCTGCCGGCCCTGACCGGCCGCCGCTGCTCAAAATTAGTATTCTTTAAAAATTTTGTAAAATTTAGCTTGTTCATATGATTTTTAGAGGTTCAGTGGCATTTTCATCTCTGACGACTGAAGTATGAAATTAATTATTTTTAGAATAACATCGTATTATTTCTGAGGCTACTCCACGTATTAATATTCATACTATCTAATTTTTGCTATGTATTAAATATTGTAACATGAATTATTAGAATAACATTAACCCAATTTTTAGGTATTATTTATGGGGAGTCCAAAAGAAATAGAGTAGGCAAGAAAGAAGGTAAAGAAGTTTCAAGTAAATTATCCAAATGGAAAACATGCAAGCTGTACTCGAAAGTGGGTATATTCATTACTGATTCAGGCCTATTTTATAAAAATAATTATACCAATACTCAGAAATATGGATATCGCAAAATGTTTATATGGGAAGATGAAGACATTATTCGAAAAACATGGATTTTAGACAGCCATTTTGAAATTCCAAAATATACCTTAAAAGTATCCGAAGATTTATTGACGGATATTAAAGAATATATTATGAGAAAGGCTCCATTTGAAGAAGCTCAACTGAATCGACAAAAATATCACATGGATGCAACGGAAGATAGACAAGTAAAACATAACCAAACAAAATCATTATTGGAAACACTTACTGAACAGATTTTAAAAATAACTATAGGCACCGAACAGTACAAGAATCTGCTAGATGCTGTGTATAAAAATCAAGAAAATAGTACCAAACAACAGTACCAGATTGTTACTAAATTGGAACTAGTTCATACCGATGTTATAGATTCAAAAGAAAAACAAGAAATCTTGAGAAGAACAAGCGAAAACCTTCAAAACGATATCCAAGAGTTAAAAAGTAACCATAATGAGATAGCCACATCTCTTATTACTGTGGAAGAAATAGAACAATTAGTAAAGGAGCAAGCCTCACAAAGTGTTTTAACAGATCTAAAAGAATATGCTGGAAACTGTATAAAAAGCTTAAACCCTAGTCCTCTAGTTAAAACGGGGGTGGAAGTCGTAATACCAAAAATAATAGAAGGTGTAGAAAAAATGAAGCCAAAAATAAAAGAGGGAGTAGAAGTATTGATTCCAAAAATTGAAGAAGGAAGGGACAAAGTTATTCCAAAAATTCATGAGGCAGTAGAAAAGGCTCTTCCAAAGATGCAAGATTTAAGTAATGATTTTTTTAGTAAACCTGGCGTTAGTAACGAAGAAATTAAGAAAGGACTTGAAGAATCCGTACAAAATGTCTCAAACAGCATAGATAATGCTAAAGAAAAGATAAAAGGTTTTTTTAATTTTTAAGAAATAAATTGTATTATAAAACAAGCAAAGTTTTAAGAAAACGCTAACAAAAATTTTATTAGATCATTCCTAGTTTTCCGTAATTTATTTCGCATTTTTTTGTCTAAAGAAAAATAAATAACTTTTTATGTCGTCCTTTCTAAAAAACATTGGATCTATTTTGGTATTATTCCGAAAAATGACATTACTGTCGATAAGTGAAAATGCGTCTAATTCTTCAGTTAGAACCGGATGCGCTTTTTTTATACCATCGGGACATATAGAAAAGAAATTCAAACTGAAACCGGAGACTTCAATTTATACAGCAGAGGCTAATGCAATATATGAAGCTTTATTATATGTAGCTGAAGCTGATTTCGCCAATATCAGGTATAATTTTGTCTCTGACTTCTTAGCAGTGTTAAAATCTATTGGTAAATATGGATCCCAAATTTACAAGAAGCTCATACATTTATAGAATTAAACATACTAAACAAATTCTTTTAACCACAGGGATCAATGTCCATTTTCTATGGATGAAAGTACATGCAGGATTTGAACATAATGAATATGTCGACTTATTAGCCAAAGAAAGCATTTCAAGTTTTGTAGAGCTTCCAGGATTTACATAACTTCCAGTATTAGAGTACCATTTGGACAGGCGCATTATCCACAACACTTATTTAAAATACAGGTTCTGGATGATAATAAATGAGAGCATTGTGGAGAAGAAAGTGATTGGGATCATATATTTTTTGGTTGTAATAAGAATGCAGAATACTCATCTAAACTTATAAATGATTTAATAAAATGTAAAATAACAGCTCCTTAAAATATCCTATATTTATTATCATTTGGCTTTGTAGATGTATAAAACTTCTTAATTAACTTTTTAAAAGACAGCAAATGATTATTATATCATTCTCTAAAAAATTTGTTACTTTTGTATAAATTCCTCCCCTCCTTGACCTAATGTTTGATGTATATTTAATTGTAAGTTTCTGTGTTGCTTGGCAACGTTGCGTTGGGCTGTAAACGGCGACAGATGACAGGTAACCAAAAAAGGAAAATAAGCTTTTTTCTCATCTCTGTATTAGATTAATTACTATTTAACTGGGAATAAGCCACAATTAAAGATAAAAATACGTTTATTGACGTTTCAATTTCTACTTCGGAAATCGTTCCCAAAATACAAACAAAAAAAGGTTTGTATTTTGAGAACGATTTCCGAAGTGGAAATTGAAACGTCAATAAACGTATTTTTATCTTTAATTGTGGCTTATTCCCAGTTAAATAGTACTACTATTTAATTATAATTGTTTTTTGAAATTTTGTGAAATAAATGGTATCAAGTTAGTAAAGTCTCCTCCATATCACCCCAGCCAATGACACTGCTGAGTGCTTTCAAGAAATTTCTTTTAGAAAAGTCAACATTAACAGTAGAACAAAGGTTAGTCAACTTTCTTTTTACATATAGAAATACTCCCTGTGCAAGTACTGGTGTAAGTCCTAATGAGTATATTTTTAAAGTTAAACCAAAAGCAGTCATTGATTTGATCAAATCAAAAAGGGTAATTATTGCAGTTATAATAAATCATCAGATTTCAAACTAATGGAATGCTTTTTAGTAGGGGAGAAAGTATTAGTAGAAAGACTAGGTCCTTATATAACAAATAAGTGGCAGGAGGGCAGTATAATAAAACGTTTGACATATTTGGTTCAAGTAAATGATAGAGTCTTGTACAAATATGTAAACAGTATTAGGGAATTTTTAACTTACTACACACATAGAACAACCAAATACTTCACTGACTACAAACCATGGGTTAAGACCGGCAGTAGTTCAGGAAAATTGTAATTCCGAAATTGTAGACCCTCCAAGTCACCAAATGACTTCTGTTAAAATTAAGAAAACTAATCTTGATTCAGAATGGGGTCTACAGTTTGAAAGTCCTGTTAAAACAACAGATCATTCAATACTTTTAGAAACTAATAATCCAACAGGTATTGAATTGAGACGTAGTAATCCTGTACGTCATCAACCACAGAGGTTGGACTTGTAAACTTTTGAATATACGTAACGAGCTGACTGTTAACGTCCAAGCTTCCATGCCGTGTAATAGTACACTATATACATAATACTTTATGATGCGGTATCGTAGGGACAAATCAAGATTACGGGTAGTGAGTAACTGTCACATCTTTAAGAAGGTGTTTCTTAACTGTTCTATTCTACATTTAATCTCTTGTTCTTGGTCTAAGGTTTCATTTATCCAACAACCTAGATACTTAAACTTTTTCACTTGCTCAACTAGATTGTTGTTGACTAGTATGTTTATAACTGGTGCGTGTTTTTTTGAAATTATCATTTACCTTAAGGCCGTATTGTTCTTCTTCTCACACTACTTTGGTTAACAGAATTTGTAGTTCTTCTTAATTGCCAGCAATCAGTACTGTATCATCGGCATACCTGATATTGTTCACGATTTTTCCATTGACTTTTTATTCCTTCTTGTGATTTATCTAGAGCATGTGCAAAGATATTATCTGAGTACAAGTTGAATAATAATGGTGATAGTATACAACCCTGTCTAACTCCTTTTTGGATGTTTATGGTTTTAGTATCACCCATTTCAGTTCTGACAAGCGTTTTGGTTCCAGTAGAGTTCACGTATTGTATTAATCTCGTTTGGATCGAGGTTCTTTTTTTGCAAGCATTTTATTAGCTGATCGTGTTTGACTTTGTCAAAAGCCTTTTCATAATCTATAAAGCACATAAGATGTTAAAAAATTCAAATTTAACTCCTAAAAGAGCCTGTGATAATATTTTAAAGTTAGGTCAGAAGGTGAGCTTTGTCCCAATTGCAAATAAATCATATTCTTTGCCTGGTAGTAAGAATTCGTCATATACAAGTGATCATTCTGAAAATCACAAATTACAGTATCTTTATCTAAAGTAACTTAAGTATTTTTATATATGTGGGTATCATATGCAGCAACTTCAACTTATTAGTTCGTAATGTTTTATTATGCAATTTGCAATTTATTTAAATTTTGCAATTAATTGTTTATTTTATTATTTTTTATTTTGTGATATTTTCTTTTTTTGTTATTTTAGTTAATTGTAATTATTGTTATTTTCTGACTTTTTGTAAGCTTTGTCCATAAAATTGTACAATTTTCTGTGACAATAATGCATATTTCTAGTTTATACTATTCTACACCAATACGATTTAAGCAGTTATCTTCTCCGTCTTTTAAACAAAGTGTTAAAGGGCTCTTGATTTACCAACGTTTCTATTCTATTAATGAGTGCCTGTCTCATGTATTGTATTGTATTTTTTATGTTTGACGAATGTAATAATGTAGAAATTTACATGAATAAATCTATCTATCTTATACTTTTTAAATGTCCCACCTTTTTTTTTTTTAACATATTACAACACCATTAACTCTTCAAAGAACACCGAATAAAGATACTACGTCAAGATAAACAATAGTATAACAGAAATTTTTGAGGTCCATTATTATTTAAAATGTTTAGCATAATATTAGAGATGGTTACAAAAATGGTTAGATGGTTAGAAAAAAACATCACTGCTTAGCATTTGTCAACGACTTGGTAGTCTTGACTAGAAAGAAAATAGAGCTGACGCAAACAGTCACGAAACTGAAAGAGAGGGTAGAAACCAAGGTAATGTATATAAATGAAGCAATAACGAAGTATACGGAATTCACAAATAAGAAATTCGTTCGGGGAAGGGAGCAGAAACATAACAATGATAATAGCAAAGGTAATACAATATAAATTCGAAGAAGTTAAAAGATTTGGGTACTTAGGAAAGTTCTTCACAAGAGAACCTAACTGTGAGGAAGAAATACAGAAAAGAATTATGTCTGGCAACCGCGCTGTATCTGCTCTCAATGGGTTGTTAAGAAGAAAAAATATATCTCGAAGAGCAAAACTAAGGGCATACAAGACCGTAATAAGGCCAGTAGTGATGTATGCTTCTGAAAAATGCGTCACAACAAAAACAAAACACCAGGAGTTTTTATTAGTTTGGGAGCGCAAAATCTTGTGACAACATATTAGCGGTAATTAAGGTTCAAAGACTTAGATGTTTGGGTCATGTGCAGAAAATGATTCCATCTAGAATTCTCAGAATGGTGCTACCTAGTGCATTGGCAGGCAAAGGGCGAAGAGGAAAACCGAGGTCAAGATGTTAAATAGGGGCCGGGGGATGCGCTCTTCTTCTAATCGGCGTAAAGCTGAGCGGGAAAAGAACAAATCTCAGGGGACAAGTTTTGCACGGAGAGTCTTAGGACTTTGCACCTCCTTAAACTATCCCAAGACCGCTGGGTACCCCCAACAATGATTGGGGGTGTGTAATCAATCTTTGATTGCACCCTTCACGTGGTGGCCCTGTTGAAACTAAACTCAGCGGATCTAGACTAGATAGTCGATAAACAATCCCCACGCCAAGCCGTGAGACACCGTGGTGAAGGCTGTAAGGCACTGGGGTGACAGTGTCGCAAACGGTTCCTTTGGGGCAACAGGTCGCACCCCATAGTATTTAGACCTTACCCTCGCAAGCGGGGCTCTGCGAGGGGTTGACTGTCTTTCCCTAGCTACTCGTGGGATCAATATGGAATCTCTAAAAAAAAAAACAAAAATAATAAAGATAAAACTCAGGTGAAAGGGTTTCCGAGGCCGAAGAGCCAGGGAACTCCAGAGCCAAAATCACAGTTCCTAAAGCTGGAGGGCAGGGAGCTTCTGGAGAAAATCCGAACGCCGAAAGGCCCGGAAGTTCTAAAGAAATCTCCCAAGCTGATAGGCAAGGAAACAAAAAGGCTGTCAGAGTAATAGCGTTGGAAGACGTTGATCTCATGACAGATGAAGAAATTAGGGCTGCAAGGCTATCTGGCGTCTCTAAAGCCAAAATCAGTAAGCTGGTGAAACAAGGCCAAGATTACATTCAAGCCAAAAGGGCTATAATCAAGGCCAATTTCATCAAGGCAGCTGAAAGGCAAAAGAGATGCCGTCAAAGCCATTAGAGGCCATGACAAATGTACAAACCCAGAAGATCGATGGCTCAAAAAGGCTAAGGTCAGACGGAAGCACACCACCCGAAAGCCAACGCAAAGGGAAAAGGCCAAGAACCGAAGGTGTGACTTTCAGCGAAACTGCCGCTTCTGTTAAGGTTGCAGTGGTATTAACAGGATTCCCGGAAGCCAAGATGGATGCAGACAAGCTTAAGGCAGTCGAAATAGCCATCTTGGGTGCGTATGACAAAATTCCGGAAGCAGGACCACAGGTTCGCTTCCTGAACAGTACATACAGGCCGGGTTTCCTGAAACTCAACTGTGCAGACGACATAAGTGCTCGGTGGCTAAAGGAGGTGATTCCAACCCTGAGGCCTTGGGAGAATGCATCTCTCAGGGCTGTGGAGGGGAAGACATACCCAAGCCGCACTCATGCACTGTCTTCGTACAGGACGAGCATGGGGAACGTCTTGAGTCCAAAAGGATCCTTAACAGATTAAGGATAAGTAACCATGGGCTCAGGACAAATCTATGGACAGTCTGGGGTAGTAAACCTTCAGACAAAGGGGTGTTATGGACCTTCTTAATGGATTCTGAATCTCGAGAAGAACTCCAGAAATTAAAAATGTCACCCTTTTTCGGAGTAGGACGGTTAACGTTCCGACCCAAAGTAGGGAAGACAAAAACACGGAATGAAAAGCCAGTAGCAACTCGTTCCAATGAAACAGGGGAAACCTCCCTACATATGGAGGTTCAGGAAGAGGAACAACCTTCTTCGGGTGAAGCTGACATACTCATAAGGACTAGCGTCCAAGGGTGTGTCGGACCCATGGAAGAAGGAATGTCCACAGATCCAGAACCAGCCATCTCTTCGCAATGAAGAG